ACAAGTAATGATCTACCAGTCCCTTTTAACTTTTCCAAAGTTATTTTTATGACTCTGATAAAATCAAATCCTTTTTGCTGTTGCCTTATTTGTGAAGTTCCACATTTTAATCCAATTGGAATGAGCGAAGGATCAGCTAAGGTTGTTCCATTTTAAGTAGAAAGACCTCCAGTAGCAGCCGAAGATATATTACCTATTCAAAAATTCTAGTTTTCCTATTCAAAAGGTGCAAAGGTGCATTCTCAAGTCTTGTTTTATTATTAAGTTATTGTTGAATATATCTCAAGTAATATATTCTATTCTCAAGCCTTTTGTGACACAGCAGTGAAGAAACTCATGATCTTGGCAATTGTTGAAAATTCTTTGAAAGAATCTTATGAGAACTTGAAGCAAGCTTTAGAGTCGCTTTGTCTTGAAAGTGTTGCTTTTACTGCAGCTGTGGATATGAAACTTTCAAATGCTTTTTTTGGATTAGGCTCAGCTGTATCCCATATCCCTGTCCTAGGTGTGAAATTTCAAAGAAAGATTTAGGAAACCAAGAAATGACAGGGCAATTAAGGACACTTGGGAGGATTAGATCCAATGCTAATAATTATCAGAAAGATCTCAGTGTTCATTCAAAAAAATCAAAGCTCTCGGCAGCAAGCTACAAAAGTTGCATAAACCTTCCTCTACTTGATCATCCAGATGATCAAGTAGAGGAAGCTTCATGCAACTTTGATATTTTGCTAATCACAGAATTGCATATGGTTTTAGGAACTATCAACAGGCTATTAGATCATTTGATAACTACCCTTAGCAAAACCAATTCTTGAAAGCTACTGACCAGTCAAACAAACTAAGCATCTACAGGCCACCAATCCATGGAGAAGAATTCAATGGAAACCAATGTAGACAACTCCCGAAAAACCCAGTTGGGGTCCTATAAAAATTGCTTGCAAATGCCAAAATTAGAAATGAAAGAGAAAAACTTCTTTCTACTTTTAAAACATTTGATGCAGTCAGACAGACATGATTTGGGAATGTCATAATTTCCTCTTATAGAGATTCTATACTTTCTTTTGAGAGAGCATACACTTTGAATTTCAATTACACCTAATATTCATGCTGTCATCAAGCACATAACTGAGTTTATTACCAATTAGGCTGAAAATCATGATATTACCCAGCAAATATAACTCTACAAAATTTTTCAAGAGGTCTTATGTTTTGAAGTGAACAAGCATCCGAATCAGTTCATTCAGATTTCAGCAGGTTATAAGAAACAGGTGCTTACAAACGAAAATTGGGTCATCCAGAATACTGAAAAAAACTAAAGAATTGTGTAACTGGGTATTACTCAAGGCATCTCTAAAAGTCGATAGTAAAAAAAAAAGTTAATTTTAACCAAATTTGCAACTTGGTTAAAATTAAAGAAACCTGTAAAAAAGATAATAACGAATATCCAAATTTTGATGTAAAAAATATAGAAAACCATTTTTATTTAATAATATAAAATATAACTTTAATAATTTGATGTGAATAAATAATCTAATGTAATTAATATTTAATGTAAAATAATTTAAAAATGAAAACTTTTTGGTAGTTTTCTATTTTAAAAAAAAAATTAAAAATTTTATATAGTCCCAAACATTTTTTGCAAAATAAAGGCTCCAAAAAATATAGTTTTTTCAAGGATTTTGATAGAAACACTAAAATGACTATAACTTTCCTCGAATGTTGCAAAATATTTTTCAAACTTTTTAAAAATCTTGTCCATGCATATACCTAAGACATAGTACAAAAATTTTCTGAGGAAATTTTTTTTCGCCTTATTGGTTATTCCATGCTTATGTGCCCTGTATATATATATATATATATATATATATATATATATATATATATATATATATATATATATATATATATATATATATATATATATATATATATATAATATATATATATATATATATATATATATATATATATATATTTATATATATATATATATATATATATATATATATATATATATATATATATATATATATACATACATATATATATATATATATACATACATATATATATATATATATATATATATATATATATATATATATATATATATATATATATATATATATATATTATAAATAAAACTACATATTTTTCACTACTATAAGTTTCATGCTAAATGCAATCATCAGGTATAAATATGTTTTTTTCTCATGAAAAAATAATAATTCTGTACTAAAGAAAATCAGTTAAAAAAATCTATTCTTTTGGTCTGTGGTTGTCCAGCAAAAACTTGTTCTCATTGCGACATTTGGATATAAGTTCATTTTTTTTGTTTAATAGTTTTTTGGGATTTTTATCCAATAAAATTAATAGTTTTTTGTATAAGCATTTTTTGGTTATGTTGTTGTAGATGGACCATTTTAAATTGGGTGTTATTTTTGATTTATTTTGTGTATCCCATAGATATTTTGAAAGCGTAATTGCGTTTGTGAGTTTTTTATTTTTGAAAGATTGCTTGTGATTTGCCCATCTAGTTTTCCACACAGCCTCTGTTATACCAATGTATACTTTGTTTGGGAGTGTTTAAGAATGATGCAATGCACTTATAAATTACAATTGTTTTTCTGCAATTGCTGTTTATAGGGCAGATTTCGCTTAGTTTACAATTGCAAGCTAAAGTAGTCATTGGGTTCATCGAAATAATTTTATTGTTGTGGTTCTTTATAATTTTTTCTACGTTGCTTGTGCAGCTGTAGCTGACTTTATTTTATTTATAAAAAATATATACAAATACAGCTCTGTTTTGATATAAATCATTTTAATTTACTTTAATTCATCGAGCACTCTCATGAAGATATATGCAAGCACTAAAGAAAAAGAAGAAGAAAATAAAGAATGAATGAAAAAATTGCTACCCCATCCCAAACCCTCAGTCGCTGTAGTAGCACTCCACTGCGAGTCAGGCTATTTGTAAGTCAATGTATGTACTGAAGCCATTGACAGCAGGCTATATATATATACTATATATATATATATATAAAACGCAAATAAAAATATGTGAATAGTGATTTTTTTTTTTTTTATGATAAGCAAACTATTCCGTTCAAAACACGTTTTTAGAAAATTTTTTTTGAAATTAAACAAAAAACTTTTATTATTATACATTTTATTATTTATAATGCTTTTACAAAATTAAATTAACAATGTCTCTCATAATTAATTTGTATTTATTACACAGTTTAATATTATTAATAAACTTATATCAATAAATAAAATTTTATTTAATTTTGTTAAATGTTTGCTGTAAACATTTTATATAAAGAAGTCTCACCTTTTGTTTTTTTCTAAAAATCTGCGCTCTAATTTCAACAGAATGACATAAGTTAACGCGAAAAAATGGGCGTTTTAATTGAAGCTTTAACATTTTACCTCAACGCAACTAAAGTTATATGAATAGAGATTATTTTGTTTTTAACAATAAGTGAACTTTTTTTATTAATTAAACAAGAATTTTTAACAAAACTTTTTATAATAAAAATTTAATATAAAACCAAGTAAACCATTATTAGTTTTCTCCCTCTCAAATTTTTAGGATGAGCCCGATATTTACTCTCGTTACTAAATTAAAATCAACTGAGGGTTTGGTTTGGGCAGGCAGTCTATCATTAAATGAAAAAAAAAATTTTTTTAGAAGTTTTTTAACATTTTCTGGTCAGGTTTATTAACGTGCTCTTTAAAACAACAGTTTATGGGAAAAACTTTGTGACTTCCATGCAAGACTATATTTATATATATATGTATATATATTTTATATATATATATATATATATATATATATATAGATATGTATATACACATTTATATATAAATATATATGTATCTTTTATATATATATATATATATATATATATATTTATATATTATATATACATATTTATATATTTATATATATATATATATATATATATATATATATATAAATATAAATATAAACATATATATATATATATATATATATATATATATATATATATATATATATATACATATATATATAAATATATATATATATATATATATATATATATATATATATATATATATATATATATATATATATATATATATATGTATGTATTTTATATATATATAGATATGTATTTATACATTTATATATAAATATATATGTATCTATTATATATATATATATATATATATATATATATTTTATATATATATATATATATATATATATATATATATATATATATATATATATATATATATATATATATAGACATTTATATATAAATATATATGTATTTATTGTGTGTGTATATATAAATATATATATATATATATATATATATATATATATATATATATATATATATATATATATATATATATATATATATATATATATATATATATATATATATCAGGCTTTGGCATAAAGCAGGAGCGATAAAAAATTTGAATACTTATAAATTGCGGGCACGATGAAAAACACTTGCTAACTTAGTAACGAGAGTAAATATCGGGCTCATCCTAAAAATTTGAGAGGGAGAAAACTAATAATGGTTTACTTGATTTTATATTAAATTTTTATTATAAAAAGTTTTGTTAAAAATTCTTGTTTAATTAATAAAAAAAGTTCACTTATTGTTAAAAACAAAATAATCTCTATTCATATAACTTTAGTTGCGTTGAGGTAAAATGTTAAAGCTTCAATTAAAACACCCATTTTTTCGCGTTAACTTATGTCATTCTGTTGAAATTAGAGCGCAAATTTTTAGAAAAAAACAAAAGGTGAGACTTCTTTATATAAAATGTTTACAGCAAACATTTAACAAAATTAAATAAAATTTTATTTATTGATATAAGTTTATTAATAATATTAAACTGTGTAATAAATACAAATTAATTATGAGAGACATTGTTAATTTAATTTTGTAAAAGCATTATAAATAATAAAATGTATAATAATAAAAGTT